TTCAAGCTGAGGTCTTCAACTTCCTATCATCCCGGTCAGGCAAAGTACATGAAGAAGGTTATTTTCTTATCCCAGTCAGGCGATAAGACCAAAAAGCAAAAGACTGCGAGCCATTACCCTTCTCTAGGATTGAGAATGCATTTCTTCAGACATTGTGTAATGATATCATAATCGACGAGGATCTCCACTACTCTTCTAGTACCTTCCCACTATTGTGAAGCAAAAAGATCTTTGGGGAATGACTATTTTGGGCAATGGAAGATATACACCAGTAAAATTCCTTTAACTAGGTGTGGCTGTTGGAAGATATCGGTAGTTACACAATATGACTGAAAGGTTATATAAGAACCTGAGGTTCACTATAAGCCGTAAAGATCTGCACAAATGGATAAAAAATCAATACCGAAAGAAAGAAAGTGACGAACAAGAAGCTGGATCTGAGTAGGCATAAGTACCTCAGACAGTTACAAGAAAATAATCAAGATCACGAATGGATAAGTTTCTCAGATGGTCAGAAAGAAGAAGAATATCCCAGAAGGGTTGTTTCCTAATGAGAGGAGGTCTTTTAGTAGAGGTCCTTTGGAGGACATGAAGCACTTTTATTTTCAGTTTTTCTTTTTCTTTTCATATACACACATTTGTGCATTTTTAGATATTCCCTTTCTTTTATTTTCTCTTTTCCTTATTTTAGTTTCTAGAAATCAGTTTCTTGGAGGATAATCAGCAGTGGCAACCTGCTGACAATGATGGATAAGTTAGGAGGGTTTTTACCCAAAACCAATTCCGGAGCGAAATATTGTCTCCAAGGTCACACTTAGAGGCTGAAGCTCATTTGAGATTTGAAAGTGACAAATGAGTCAGCATAAGATTTAGTTTAGCCAAGATATATTTGCCCAATGTATCACACGTGATTTTGTTATTTATGATTAATAAACGTACTATGCTGGCCTGACTAAGGGTTAAAAAAATAAAAAATAAATAAACATTATTTTATAATAAATAAAGAATATAAAAAAAAAATAAAAAACAAAAAGAAAGTTCTACTTATTATTAGTAATTAACAAAAAACTAATTAAATGAGATATAATAATTTGACAAAAGTCTCTTTAATATTATTTGTGGAAGTATAAAAGAAAACAAGACTATCTCCTTGAAAAACTATTTTAAAGAACAACTTATAATCTTTTAAATATCTATATAGACTATAATTAGCAAGTTTTGCCAAAAAATATAAAAGAATTTCAAGAAATAATTGATATATTAAAATAATAAAATGTGAGAAAGAACTAGATATTACTAAAAAAGAAAAAAAATTTAAAAAGACTTAAACATGAGTTTCATGAACAAATTATATAAGATTAAGAAGAATTTACTTTATTTTCAATTGAAAACCTAGATTAAGAAGAAATAAGAAAAAACAAGAAAAAGAATTATATAGAAATTATTAAAGATTGAATTTACTATGAAATAAAATAATTTGATTTTTAATTATAAGCAGAATTTAGAATAGTCTATAGTAATAATCTGTAAACAATGATTTTATTGGTTAAGGAGTATTTTAAATTAATAAAAGAACAAATTATTATTTTCTAAATTGCATCTAGAGAAATTAAATAATATATAAATATTATGTATTTATATAATAAAGACAAGTTATATTTTTTCTATTGATCCTTTAACTATATTGTTGTAAGCTAAACTGGTGAGTCCATCACTAAACCGTAGCACCTCGCATAACCCAGTTATCTCACAAATACTCACAAAGAAGAGAATGCCTCCTATAAAGAACATTTAGGGAAGGTAGAGGTGTGGTAATTGACTTGGCCAAAGGTAAGTGTCTCTTTATTACGTTCTGTTTCTTTGGTATCTCACTAATTCTTATCTCTATTCTCAAGGAAGGCTGTTTTCCTAACATATTCAGCTCTATCTCTTTGGCATACATTGGTAAGCTATTTATACTTTTCTAACTAACAATGGGCTATCTACTTTATAATCAATTATACTAACCCTAAGCTTTGCTAAACTTTCTATACTTTTTCAAATACACATAGTTCCCTTATCAGTACCCGAGCCTTATCTATAGTTTCTTACCTTGCAACACTCAATCTTTCATGCTAGACTTCCAGATTTTTGGATTCTAGACCATTATGCGTAAATTGCGTTACCCATGTGACCCATAACAATATATAAAAAAGATGTTTATAAAAAGTTTTTATAATTTTTTGCTAATATAGTCTTAACACTTTCATTAAAACAACTTTAAGTATGACTTCAAGAGTCATTTATATACTTCCTCTCTTGTTTATAAATCTTTTCACTTAAAAACTTAACTTTTAATAATCAAGAAAGGTCAATTATATCTTTGATACCAATGGTAAAAAAGATTCTAAAAAAAAAAGAACTGATTATAAAATACTTGAAGATCTTTTTAATATTTGAAGTAAAAGGTTTTTAGAGATCTTATTATAGTTAAAAAGCTTATTTTCTTCTTTTTGAATTGTCATATCACTTTTAAAACTTACACTTTTAAGATTATTGGAGGAATTTTACATATCTCAATTTGCCTTGAATTTTAAATAATACAAAATCTCATCAAAGATAATTGGTTGATACAAAACATATTGATTTTTGAAATATAAACAAGCCTTTATTAATCACAATCACATATTTTAATAATATAATTGATAATTGAAAAAAAAAGTTTACAAAAAAAGATATTTTTCACCAAGTAAGTTTTTAAGAAAGATAGTTATAATATCAAAAGATAAACAAAGAATATAATATATAGTATTCATATTTCTTAATCAAGTCCCTTATATAGTAAAAAAACTTTTTTAGAAAGAAAGTTAAGGTCTTCAAGTTTTCATCCCAATTAGATAAAGTTTTTATAAAGGCTTCTTTATCCTGATTAGGTCAACTCTGCTGTAATATGATACTGGCATTAATCTTGTAATAAGCAAATTTACATATTAGTAAAAAGATAAGTTCTTCAAACATTCTTCTTAAAATCTTTATACTTAAAAATGATTAAGTTTCTCAAATGGTTCAAAGTTTAGAAAATATCCCAATCAGATAGATTCCTTTTAAAAGGGGATTATTTATTTGAATAAAAACATTTGGAAAGTTTTGAATTGTTTTTTTTTTTTCTTCTTTTCTAATATATAATTTAACATTTCATTGTTTTTTAAGATAATCTATAATAACAAACTATAAATAATAATTCTAATAGATAAAAGATATAGCCAATTTATTAGGAAAGTATAATATTTTCTCAAATTCTGATTTAGAATATCTAGTTTAGACTTTGTTCTATTTAGTTCAAACTAGCTGTAGACTTCTTATATTTTTAAGTAGTATAATTCTTTAACAAATAATATATAAAGACAAGTTAGTCATAATATGAATAGTTTCTGTAAGGTTGTAGATGTTTTCTAATATCTCAATAAAGACAAGCCATGATGGCATAATTGCAGATTAAAAAAAAAAATAATAATAATAAAAATAAAGACAAGTCATGTTGATCTGACTGTGGGTTAAAAATATATATATACTGTATATCTAATATAATTATAAATTAAATTAAAACCAATAATAAAAGAATGGATTTTAGTTTCAGTTAGAACTTATGTAAAGAATTTGCAGTGGTGACTTATAGATAATAATATTTACAGTTAGAAAAATATTTATTTAAACTAAATAGAGTGATAAATCATCTTCAAAGTTATACTTAGGGCTATAAATTGATAGAGATAAGTGAGTTAGTTGTAAATTCAGCTTTAGCATCACAAATCTTTAATATAAATGTACAGTTTACGATTGTTTAATAAAGTATGCATAACTAACCTGACAGAGGATTATTTTTTAAAATTGGAATTTTAAAATATAGAGAAACCTCTCTAAATACCCATTCTATACTGTTTTTTTTTTTCTAAATGCGCAGCCAAGCTTTTATTTCAGTATACAGAACTTTAAATTAAATTATCTCTTTAAATGCATATCATCTTTAATGTATATTTTTTAAAAATTTTCCAAGGGATGACTTAGGTTTGCATAAACTATGCCGGAAATTTAATATAGTAAATGATAGTTATTAACGAAAAAATCGTCGAATTTAATACCAATTAACATTAGTTGTAAAATACGTCTTTTTTTTTTTATTTATCCTTGAGGATGAACAAGTTCCATGATGCAAAGGAAAAAAAAATGCTACAATACAAAGATGTTTCAAAATGCTAAGGTTTAAGTTTTTGAAAAGGAATTTAAAAAGATACATACAAAAAACAAAATCACATCCGAATGCAAAAAATAAATGTTTTCAAAAAAAAAAAAACAATGAAAGACTCTAAATTAAATAAAACTGACAATTGAAATCGAAATATTTTCATATATACATTAAATTTCAGACTTTATATTAAGGTCTCACCCATTTCACCGTATATCCTCTCCTTTAATTCGCGCTTTATTGACACAGGAAATTCGATCTCGTGAACATTGAAACTCACAGCACCCCCACTATTATTCTTTCGGTGCCCGAATGATGCCCGCGAGTTCTTTGTATGTGTATGTTTTTTTGTTCTAACCTCGTCAGCCAATGAGGATACTACAAATATTAAAAATGATTAAGAAAAATAATTTGAGGTAATTTACTAAATAAAAGAGTGAATTTAAGAAGCAATAACGCTTACATTCACTCGAATCATCAAAATTGGTAAATTCTCTATCAAAAATTCCAGTGGAACTTCCATTTATGACCTTTGAAGCATTAGCGTCATTGTTATTACCATTATTATTATTACTATTATTATTGGAACTTATACTATTAAAGATAATTGCATTTTGAGAAGATTGAGTGGAATGGCCATTATCAACAGACCCATTGTTGCCATTGTTCGTCCCATTCACAACCTTTGTGTTGATAAGACCAATCATTTCATTGTTAATGAGCGTACCATTTACTGTGTCATTCTCAAGGGAATTAAGAGCTGTTGAAAAAACAACCGATGACGGAGGTGGTGAGGACGGTTTATGCTCTACGATGTCAGGTAATATGCTATTATTAAAGCCACTTTGCGAAGGAATAACAGAAAGATTTGGTTGAGACGTGGACACATTATTATTGTGGTTATGTGTTCGCTTTGGAAAAAAGCGTCTCCTAGTTGAAGGGGGTGCCTGTGAAACTTCAGTTGCAATTCCTGTCGATACATTTTGTGGTGGATTGCTTAATGACATTTGCATAGATATTCCTCCTAATGGAGTTGACGTTTGCGGCAGAGAGACCAATGAACTTCTTGAAGATTCTTGTTGAGTAGAATCCAATGTTGAGGAAGGTTCTGCTGAAGTAATCCCTGAGAAGCGTTCTGAATTACTTTCTTTCGCTACCTGAGACGATATAATAGAAGCTTGGCTGCCTTTACTACGGAAGAATCCTCGTTTCGGCGCTACCTTCCTAGTCACCGTGCCACCGTACGTGGTGTCACTCATGCTACCGCTGTTTATGACATCCAAAGAACCTGATTTTACCATATGCGTAGATGCAGAGGTATTATTTTTCCTACTATTGTTACCGGTCAGATTATTATTATTATTATTATTATTATTATTATTATTACTATTAATGTTGTTATTGTTAGGAGAGAGTGTGTTATTTGCGCGGTGACGGAATAGGGAACCAGCCCATTGTTTTGCCCAAACAATCCGTTGCCTGACGGCTCTGTTATATTGTTAAATTCTTGTTAACATTACTCTGCAAAGTATGAATAT